TTAGTGCGAGAATATATTTTTCTTCATATTGTTCTACCGATATGAATTGCGTTTTGAAAGTCACAAAGGTGACGCGTTTGAGTCCAAGACCCTTTACACAATAAATATTATTACCCAATACGAAAAACAGAACTATTTTCAGGAATTGCAATACAGGTTTTCTGCATGGGGACGCTGGTGTATCTTAATTTATTTAGTTATAATAATTATTTTACTGTGTTGGGAGAATATGTTACTGTCTCGTCACCAAAATGCAGGGCAAAATCATGACATAGAGTAGGAAACAGATGTTTTGAAAATGTTGCACAGTTCAGATATTTGGGAACAACTATAACAGATCGAAACCTGATTCAGGAGGAAATTAAGAGGCGATTGAGCTCCGGCAATGCTTGCTACCATTCAGTCCAAAACCCTTTGTCTTCTCGTCTGTTGTCCAAAAACATAAAAATTAGAATGTTCAAAACTATAATTTTGCCTGTGGTTCTGTATGGGTGTGACACTTGGTCTCTGACATGAAGAGAGGAACGTAGAGGGTTACAATTAATATGTTGCTGGACATTATCCATCATTTTGTCTGTTCTAAAAAAACCGTCTAGTTTCTATTAAACAAAACACAACGTTTCGGGAACTGGAATCTGTCCCCGTCTTCAGGTAAAACCTACTCAGTTGGGTCCAATAGACAGAGCTAGCCCCNCATAGAGGGTGTTTGAGCAGAGGGTGTTGAGGAGAATATTTGGACCGAAGAGAGATGAAGTGACAGGAGGTTGGAGAAAACTGCATAATGAGGAGCTTCATAACTTGTGCTCTTCTCCAAGTATAATTAGAATGATCAAGTCAAGGAGGGTGAGGTGGGCAGGTCATGTAGCACGAATTGGGGAGACGAGGAATGCGTATAGGATATCGGTGGGAAAGCCAGAAGGAAAGAGACCACAGGGAAGACCAAGGCGTAGGTGGGTGGACAATATTAGAATGGATCTTAGAGGGATAGGATGGGATGCTATGGATTGGATAGATCTGGCTCAGGATAGGGACTAGTGGAGGGCTCTTGTGAACACGGTAATGAAGCTTCGGGTTCCATAAAATGCTGGGAAATTCTTGAGTAGCTGCAGAATTGGCGGCTGCTCCAGAAGGGCTCAGCTCCATGAGTAAGTAAGTAAGTAAGTAAGTAAGTAAGTGTTTGGAGAATAGTCTGTTAGCATATAGAGCGTATAAGAAGTTTTATGTATGTAAAATTGATTTCTGAACAAACTCTTTTAAAATTTATTAAAAATACTTACATTTATGCTTATTTTTACAACTTATGGCCCTCGCATTGGCAGTTCCATGTTCTGGATGAGCGTCTGAGTTGCAGGACGCAAAAAGATTGGAGATGGAGTTCTCTGTGACGTGACTGATGACTGATATGGTAAAATGGCGGACTTTGTGTTATAGGTGAAAAAGTCTCGCGTCTTTGTGCAAAGTAGTCAGTCGTCGAATGTCGAATTTGCGTCCATGTAGGCCTAACTGAAATGTATGTCTAGTTTAGGAACGAACGTGCAAATTCCATGGTAACAGAATGTACCAGGGTGTATGTGGTGGTGGGGTTATGTGTAGAACAGTGTGAAGCGCACTTGTGTGGAAATTGCCTGTTCTATTAACGCCATCCGCGGTATTCATAACATAATCAACTTGTGTTGCAACGGTCCCTTTCCCTACAACCAGGCTATCGCGAGCCTGTAACACATGCTGAGGGCATTCAGTGACCATGCATCTTGCTGGTTAGAATACAAACCTCTGGCTGTCGGAACAGCACAGTATGATAACATGTTAGTAACCTACTTCACGAGGGATGAAGTAACATTGGAATGGAGAAACTGCAAAATGAAGGGCTTCATAATTTGCACTCTTTAACAGATATTGTTGAGACGATTGAATGAAGGAGGTGCATTAGTAAGACCACGCAAGAGAGATATGAGAAGTTTTGGTCGAAAAATATGACGTGAAGAAAACAGTTAATAGAACTAGACATAATGTTATATTTTAGCGTCCTGTTGCACTGATTTAAGTCCATGATTTATTTAATCCGTCTTGCAGTGCATACACTCATTTATCTCCTTCTCTCCCTCGCACTACATGTTTCGGCATAATAATGCCATCTTCAGGTGCTTACTTATCCACGTCAAACCAGTTCATTGCATGCCATGTTCACACATTAAAATAACTAAAATATGTATCTATCATATACATTGTCAANTCTCAAGCTTCTATTCACCGCGATTCTGTGACCATATTTCTCTTCTTACTTTATAAGACAACATAGGGTAAACTATTTGTTTACGTAAATCTCGCAGCCAAATGAAATCAAAGCACGTAGGTCTCCACTAAATGTTTGAAAAATCCTTTAAGTTGTATTGGAGTAATGTAATACAGACAGACAGATAATAAGTGCTTTACATTTCTTAGAGAATGCACCTAGAACTTTGATCTGTTGTCGTAACGGCTCTGTAGTCGTGGGTCCGCGGGACACAGGTTGTCACGTCTGACGCAGACACTCAGGGAGTTCCCCCTGCGAGCGTTACAGACGAGGCATTTCTTTGTTAGGTAACCGTAGCGCAGAAATTATGGAGCGGAATAATATGGCATTGAACAAAGCATGTGTTGACAGGATAGTGTTCACTAGCATTTGTTGAAAGACTGATGAAGCTCTGCATCTGAATTGGACAGAAAAATGGGTGAATTATGCTTCTAAGCAATTCCGAAAGCTTCAAAGAGCACATGAAATCTGATGGATGAGATAATGAAACAACGTAGAGTACAGTGGATTCTTTTCTTCCTTACATCTTCTCTCCTTCACATCTTCTCTCTTTCACAACTGACTTCAACATTACCTTCACATCACATCGCATTCGGTACATACTTAGTTAAACTTATGTTTGGGGGTTAAATAATAATTTTGCAGCATCTGAAGCCGTTACCAAGTACATGGATAATTCTCTTTGACTTCGCAATCTCTCGGGGAATGTTGCGTTATTCAAACCACTCTTGTAGTTTATGCATAAGTCACAAGGCACTAGCATTCGTATTGCTGTACAAATATATACGACAGTTTCCTCTTACTTTGAAACTATGACTTCAAAAGTTTGCTTCTTGAATGGTTTGAGGATTTTATCTAAAGCAATGGCATGTTATTCCCCCACCGTACTCTTTTCAGAAGTCACAAGGACGCTTTCCTCTGCAAGACTGTTCATCTTTCGTATGATATTCTCTGTAATATAACCCCGAAGGTTCAACTTAGCTAACACCAAAACTAATAATTGAAAATTTCCTGATCCAGTACAATCCAGATAGACTTGAAAGGATTCTGACGATGGTGTATATTGTACTTCTTTTCGCTTATTTTGGACTTCACCCATCGTCTGGTGTATAAAAGACAAAAAAAACCACGACGTTTAGGGGACTGGATCTGTCTCCGTCTTCAGGTGGATAGGGAAGTCCAGTGGTCCAGTGATTGAGACTAGCTCTTCCTAAGGGGCCCAACTGAGTAGGTTTATCCTTCCCTATCCACCTGAAGACGGAGACAGATCCAGTCCCCGAAACGTCGTGGTTTTTTTGTCTTTTATATACCAGACGATGGGTGAAGTCCAAAATAAGCCAAAAGAAGTACAGTAAAATCCAGTTTATATCATGACAATACAGCTTCCATTCTGAAACTAGCCTTCCATCTACTTCTGGATCTGCTTACTTTTATTTATAGTTTATTTAACAGCGTCATCATAAACAGAACCTGTATGATACCGAATCATGACTTGGATACTGTGGAACGAGGCGGTTGTGGCTTGGTTTGAAGCATTACCTCACAATTTGCTGGAGGGACTGAGATAACTAAAAAAAAAAAATCTCAGGATAGCAGGTGTCTTGAATGAGGTTCGAACCAGATATCTCCCGTATATAAATGAGGAGCGTTAGCGTCTGAGTCAACTTTCTCGTTTCCACGGTCTTCCAAGCGACATCTTTCATGCGCTTCCTCCCAAAAATTCCGTACACATTTCTTGTTCCCCATTCCAAATGATTTGCATGGCCATCATAACCTACTTTATTTACTTATCCTAAGAATAGCCATCTGGGAGCCAGGATAGCGTAGTCGGTATAGCCACTGGATAAGGGGTGGACGGCTGAGGGGTTGAGTCCGAGAAGGGACAACATTTTTTTCCTACACGTCGTCCAGACCGGCTCTGGGGTACATCCAGCCTCCTATCCAGTGAATAACGGGGACCCTTTCCCAAGGGGTAAAGCGGCAAGGGCGTGAAGCTGACCACTCACGTCTAACAAGTGCCGAGGTCAGGAAGATCCGGTTCTATAAATCCACTCCCCCATACGCCTTCATGACGTAATGCTTAATTATACTTTAAGAATAGCTATCTACGTCAGCTGTATAAAGCACATAATTTTCTCATTTTGTAATTCTCTCGTTTCTCCCTCTTGGTCGCTCAGTGCGAGATGTGCGCATCACGGAGACTAATGCCACTGTTGCCTGTACGTGAGACTGGCTCATGACGTGTGTACGCTTGGTATTACAAGCAGATAAATTAAAGCAACTATTCTTATGTCTTAGCTGCTGAGGTTGTATAAGATGATCATGAGCATATGGACGACTCACAGGTTATTCAATCATGCTGTATTTACTGCAGCGGTTATTTTGCGCCGAATGATATGGAGAACAATCGCTTTCGATGGAGTTGAAGGAATTTGAGATGAAGCGGTCGGCAGTCGGGTCCTCGTCGGGAAATACTAAGGAAAACTGCTGTAAACGTCAGGATAGCGGAGCTCCTGTCCGCGATTCGAACCGGGCAGTTACTGAATAAAATCAGAAGCGTTACCTCTTTAGCCAGCTTCCTTGGCAGTTGGTGAGGATTTCGCATGAGAACAACAGTAACCAGGACAACCAAAAAGCCCTGCGAGATTCGAGCTGTCTCCCAAAAAGCGTTAATGTTACAGCCGGAGCCACAGAAAAGATTACTCACCTATTCAGCATGTACACGAAATTGAAGACGCAGTTGAATACGGCCATGAACAGATCGGCCACGCTCAGATTCACCAGGAAGTAGTTAGTGATCGTACGCATCCTTCGGTGCGCTGCAGCACAAAAAAAAGAAGAGTGTTAAGGTGGATTTACATTGCGAAATTATGTAGAACATCTATATGATCATGTAAAGTAAGTAAAAGTGAAGGTATCCCTGTAACATGCCGTGGAGGCCCATAGGGTTGTGAGATGTTGAGGTTCCCACTTCTTCTAGAAAATCGGCTCATAGATGGCGGTAAGGTTGTCAGCCCTACGCGTCGGCCGCCATTTACCCCCAAGAATATTCCTGGTACTCATTTCTGTTAGAGGCTGAGTCGACCCCAGGGCCATAATGCGGCTGGAAGGATTAGGTCAATTAAAAAAAAATCCAATAACCTCATCGGGACTTGAACCCGCGACCTTCCGGCTTGTAGCATAATGCCTCAACCAGCTACACTACCGCTTGCCCATATGATCATGTATCGAGCATAATGTTCTGAACAAGTACATTGTGTTCTATACAAGTTGGTGAAAGAAGAAGCATAGACAACGAAGGAACACTCCTAGCCTAGTTTCCATGCTCAAGGAAGTAAAGCAGGCTTATGAGATAACCATGCTGTGTTTGTATGTCTGTATCTGCACGTCTCTTCGTCCTCCACCTCAACTTTTGAAGCAGTTGACCCATTGCCGCAAACTTTCTTATGAACATTATGCCAGTGGATGTCATCCGAACTTCTACTTTTTAGTTCCTGCAGTCAGTAATTCCAACATGACAGCCGCAAGAGCATGTGGGGTGGAAGCGATGTAAGTGTCACTTAATGTAGGATTCTGAAATGATATATGGTGATAGAGCTTAAAGTAATATTCAACTTTTATTAATGTAGAAATATCTTTTGTAGATTGTGGGGTAGATACATGACAATTACATTAAATTTGTAGGCCCTATTTCGTTTTTGGTTTTATGGAGGTAAGTAATTGATAACTGAAAGGTAGGCATGAGACACTTGGTAAGGGGATGGATCATAAACATACTGTAGCATATAGTACAGTTGCTATTCAATAAGCGGATAAACAAACACCAAGCAACGGTTCAGTAAACACGTCTCCGCGGCAACTGACACCAAAGCAACAAGAGAATAACGGTATTTTCTATGTGTCCTTGCCGAGATGTTATAAACAAGACAGTCTGAAGCAACGAGTCAGTTGTTGGTTAGGCGGCCCATACACGTACGAGTCTGGCTCGCGAGTCCGGCGCGGCGAGGAACCGGGCTCGGATTAATTTCACCACACACGTATGAGCGTGGCGATCCACACACGGACGAGTTTGGCTCATTCGAACCCGAGCCGAGTCGAACTCGCGAGCCAGACTCGGACGTGTGTGGGCCCCCTTAGAGTTGTCAGCAGTTCAGTTGAGAGAAGTGACGTGAAGTAGCTAGTTGGTGAGTGAGAGTTCAGTTGTCAGTTGTCAGTTGTCAGTTGTCATTTGGAAAGCTAACTGTGAAGAGAAGACTAGGTCAGTGTGAAATGGCCGCCAGCCTGGGACCCAGCTAGTTGAATTTGTCAGTTGACAAGAGTTCTGCACGGGCAGCTGTGACAAGAAGACCAGTGTGAGGAAAGCTGAGGAATCACCCTCAGTAGAAGTCGTTGCCAGGAAACGGCTAGTGAAGACTGTAATAGACGAGGATGCTAGTCTGTGTGCGTCAGTATTCTGTAGAGTGTAGTTCCGAGTGGTGTATACAAGTGGTCAACAAGTACATTCACCAATCCATACCCCGTCTATAGTCACGCCCCTAAATAGTGACATTACCTATACATTCGGTATGAAACTATGTTTATAAGTGAAAAATCACAAGTATGCTGATGGTTCGAATCCTGTCACACTTAACACAGATAATATCCATATTTACGCGATAAGTTATTTCTCTTAAAATTAATATTTCTCTTCGGTTCTGTATTTTTACGTGATAGCTGAACAGCTACGAAAGCCAACTACAAAGTTGGCGCAATTAGAAAAGTTGAACTGAAGGAAACAAGACAGAGATGTGGGAGATATTCTGGTGCACAGTAAATGCAGGAGTAGAACTGAATGTAACAAAATTCTCTGCATGCAAGTGAAATCAGACTGAGACTCATGAGATTGGTACGGTGTAGGCATATTTTGGCTGCAACTTCAGGAATGCATATAAATTTGTAGCTGTGAATATTTCTTCTCGAGGATCGTTAAAATTATTATATTGAATTTTTTTTCTGTCAGGTATAATTATAGGGCCTATTACAACTTCTCATTCAAACAAATTATCAAAAGAAGGAAATTTTCTTTTGTATAAGATAAGAAGCTAACTGCATTTGGAAATATTAATATAAATCAAGACCATATTTTTATACGACTCAGCCTTCGAATTCATCTCGCAATTTATATACAAACGTCACATGTCTTCTACTCGATCCCCATGCTACATGAAATTCTTTGAAAGGCAATTTCCAGTTGCTGTTTCCTGTATGGGATTTTCCTTGATGTCTGTTCGAAACGAATGACAGGACAGCACTTCATGACCGCTTTCATGTGGAAAGAAGGAAATGAGTGCTGGAAAATGGAGGAGAAAAAGTAAGATGAAAACCCAGGAAAAAGAAAGTAATAGAGGAGAAATTCATTAGAAAAATAAAGAATAAGGAAAAAAAATATAAAAAACGATGGGAATGGATACCTCATGAAGCCAAACATGTTGTCAGCAAGGTATTTATAATGCTTCTTGCCTTCTTGGAGTAATGTTGTAATAAAAATAGCTACGGTTTAGAAAATTCTCATTGCTTATATCAACTCCATTCTAAATATTTGTATGACATGTCCAAAGTTTACATTCGAGAGGGACATCTTATGTCACCAGCGGTGGGAAGGGAATTTCTGCTCCATTTGAGATTTTTTTTTCTTGGCGCTACAGCCCCAGTGGGCCTAGGCCTACCTCCATGAACTTCTCCGTTCACTTTCGGTTTTTCTAGATCTTACACATTCGGTAGGACTCCTTGGGCGGGTGATCAGCTCGTCGCAAGGCCTCTACCTGTACACAAACACAGAAAAACGCACACACAAACTAAACATCCATGCTCTGAGTGGGATTCGAACCCACGATCCCACGAACCCTCAAATTCCCGGCACACCAACCTGTCGCTGAACTTGCTGTTGACATTGTAACTTATCGAGCAATGCGTTAGTGGGATCTTTGTGGGACTGTCTCCCTGTGACATTTTCGGGTATGAAAAAAAGAGGCGAGAAACAATCGACAATGCAGATTCCCGACAATTAATAATTCAAATTAGCGATTACATTCAGGTTAAACGGAGACGTGGGCTGATTGAATCACTTTTCGGCCAGCCGACATATTTTGCGATCCATATCAATTTAAATACTAATGATGCATGTGGTCTACAGCATGTTCATTCCGAAAACACACTGCTTGGTAAGGAGATAGCAGAATATCTGACAGAGTTAGCTGACTGCAGAATGCCCTACAGTTAAGAGCATTTTTTGTGTCTATTTCAGAAATACGCCATAAGATGATTATCGGAAATTAAGGTTCAGTAAGGACCCCCCATCATATCTTAAGAACCAAAGACGAAGAATTCAAACCGTGCAGTGGATTTGAATCCCGCCATGAGTAGCAACATTCAAGTTGCAGACCGTATGATCGACAGGAAATGCCTTGCCTCTGCTTAGATTTCCATGAGCTTGGACTGTAGGATTTTAACCCTTTAGATGCGGGCTGACCATTTCCCTAAAGTAATGCAATTTTAAGGTAAAATATTATAACGGATTTGCTCAGAGCGTTTCCAGGCAGCGGCTCGGTGAGCGCGGTCAGCGTGCAATAATGGGAGATGTGTCTCAGTAGACGAATGTTATTGTGCGTTGATAGGCAACAACGCACCAATGAAGATGCTGGCTAGGAGTCACGTGACTAGTTCTCTGTGTGGTCTTCCTTATGCAACAATAGAATTGTGTTTTCTGTGCGTGGTCCGTGCGGAGGGTATATAACGAGAATAACACCAGCATTTCAGTTCAGTTCTCGGTAGGAGACAGCCACGGGAAGTTCGTACAAGACCTATGAAGACTTTATGTCTTATAATTACAGCAGTCTTGAAAGTGTTACTACTATTCGTAGTTACAAGTAATGAAGATCCAATAAACCGATTCGCCAAATCAAACCCGCGTCGTAGTCATTCAAACACATGACAATACGAAAAAATACAACGTAGATACATTTCCACAGCCCAATGAATGAAATCGGATAACGCAGTGAAGTGAGATGATTATTTCTTGATGTAGACGGCACGGTAATGGATGATTGTCCGACTTTAGTCGAATATCGAAGAAAAAGGGATAATATTTTGGGATATCTGACGAAGGCATTAAAGAGACATCGGTTGCAGTCGGAAGCAGAGCAAGTTCTGTGCAATTGCTTTCATCACAAGGAAATTGGAGATTAAAAATAAGAAATTTAGTATTTAATAAAATATTTACAAAATTCTAATCCAATAGTAAACACAAATATGGAAATAGATTAAGCTATATAATTTAAAATAATATTTTTATCGAAAACAGTTGATAACTTTTTTAAAAACATAAACAATTTAACATTTATTATAATGCTTTAATAATTTTAATAGATAGGTTAAATTTTCTGACTACCGCGGAAAGTATGGAAATATAAAGGACGGTTATGCGTAGAAAACTTGTGACACTAAATCAGCACATTCTTCCGTAATATGACGACAATAAACACTGCTATCAAAATGCCGAATATTAGTAACTCAGGTCTGTCTAAATGCATAGCTGTTATTCTGTGTGAAGTTAGCTTATATCACTCCGCAAGGAAGATAATTAATTCGCTTGATAGAGCTTTATATGCCCTCGGAATACAAAATTGCGTCAGAAGTTATTTCGTACGTGGACATGGAAAGAGGAACTCTAGAAGATACACATGCATTGCTGAGAAACGCGCATAAAATGAGCAGGATAGGAACTTGCGAGTAGAAGCTTGAAGTGAGCAAAGAAATACGAAGAAATGAAGAATAACAGAAGAAAAGGAAGATAATGGAGGAGAGAGAACAGCGGAAGGCAACTCACCCAGTACGATCCACAAGACGATGGCATTGCCCCCTGTGGCCACCAACAGCATAAGAGCAAACAGGGCGCTCCAGACCAACTGCTGCCACCAAACCATCAGGAGGTGTGGGTGGTGGCGCCTTCTGTTGCTACTAGACGGGGTGGACCAATCCTCCAACTCTGGAACGGCAGTGGCATTCGTGACCCACGAGAGGTTGAGGGCTGGGTCCGGACACCACGTTACGGTGCTGTTGTAGAAGTCGAAGGTCATGACGGGCTGAAGCGACATATTTGTTCTTTGTCGCCGTATCTGAGTGTGTTCTGTCGGAGCAAACCGTTTCATAAAGTTATCATCTACAGAAGCGGTATGAGTTCCGCTCCGTTTGTGGTGAATTAACTCTGAAATCTTCCCTCAAGCACAAACTCCGCGGAGAGTCTCTCAGCCATCTTGATATCCCGAAACAGAGACTTCTGCTCGGATTGCACGTCAGACAGAATCATGCTGCAGAGCATTCAGACAACGAAGCTGGGATGGTTGCATACCTATGTGGCTGTTAGCCTGCATGAAACAACTCGACTCTTGAATGGACGAATTTTGTTACACGAGAATTAAAAATTGTTTCGAATTCATTTTATGCGACACTGTCTACAATGGCAACAAACGAAGTCGAAAATCCCGCAGTTGTCAATTTAAGCTAATAAACCTTTGTCTAATTCTGTTTAAATTCGATAGTATTGAGTAACAGGGGAAAAAAAATTAAATTCGCTTAATGGGGGGTGGATTCCAGCTGGGTCCACTCGACACGGCGGCCACTGATTGGCGTAATGTACCTGCCCCGGGTGATTATGATGATGGAGAATTATGGTGGAATGAATATTGGCAGGGAAAACCGAAGTACTCGGAGAAAACCCGCCCCTTCACCACTTAGTCCACCACAAATCTCACTTGACCAGACCCGGGATCGAACCCGGGAGGCCAGTGACTAACCACTTGAGCTATGGCCCAATCACATCATATTTTGAGCTGTATCTCTGTTAAGTCATTGTTGCCAACGCACATTTAACGCACTGTTTTCAAACTGTTTCCCTTCTTCACGCTTTAGAGAAAAGATCTGAAGTTTTAGTAAAACTAGCGATTGTTCGTCTGAAAATAAGTGTTATTTGCAGAATAGGCTAAATATCCCTCATATGTTTAGAGGTCCGTCAACTAACTCCATGGATCAGAGATCGTCTTCAGAAACTAACAACAGCTCAGATGGTTAAGAAATTCCCCATCTTTCGTGACACCCGAAGGCTCACTATCGCGTTTAGAAGATCCGCCACTGATCCATATTCTCATACAGATGAATCCCTCCCATATCTTATTTTTTAACATCTACTTTAGTATTATCCTCCCAAATAAGTCTAGGCTTCGCAAATATTATCTTATATTTTCTGACTAAACATTTGTCTAATGTCCCATGAGTGCTACATAACCTGCCTATGTAATAGATCTTGATTTTATCAGCGTGATAATGAATAATGAAAAGTACATATGATTAATCTCTTCATTCCGTAATTTTCTCCACCATTTGTTACGTTCTCCCTCCTAGGTCAATATTCTCCTTGTTATCAAATTCTCAAAGGGCCTAAATTTCTATTTTTTTATATAACACCGTATAGTCCGTTGAACGTCAACCGACGTTTCGAAGGAACTTGCTGCCTCAATCTTTAGGATCAAAGAGTAAGCCAGAGAAGAAAGCGGCACGAAGAACGTAGCAAGCAGATGTGTATTCCAGAAGAGAGACTGTTCGTAACCACCGCTGGGAGAACATGAAATCCTCCATAGCATCCTTTCTGGACTCTGTTTGCTACGTTTCGGAATATGGAGGCGAAATTTTTCTTCGAAACGTCAGTTGTCCTTCAACGAAATACACAGTCTTATATCTCCCCACCCCTCCCTAAACGGGTTTCCACCCTTTAGTGTGAGAGACCAATTTTCATTTCCTGCATCCTGTTGAGTTACAATTGTATATACAATATACAATATTAAAGAGGTTGTACACCCTCTTTATTATATCCGTCACAACACAACTAATATCAAGATCAGACCATTTTCGGCCCTGCTACATGTTTCGGCTATTGATTCCCTACAGTACGGACAATACTTTGTGAGATGAGGCACTGACTAATATTATAATTTATTTTACTANTATTATTGTTCTTATTTTATATCATGTTTCTGTTTTATATAACTTGATTTATTGTATTTTACATCAAGTGTTTTTATATATTTTAATAATATTGTATCCAATTTTGTTGGTGCTGTGGTTCAGTAGTGTGTATATGTGTGTAAATCATGTGTTTGCCTGATGATGGCTATCAATAGCCGAAACATGTAGCAGGGCCGAATATGGTCTGATCTTGATGTTAGTTGTGTTGTGACGGATATAATAAAAAGGTTGTGAGAGAGCAAGTTGAAGTAAATTTATAACTGGAAATATCTTCCCGCGTGAATTATATTTCGTTTTTTTCGTACTAGTTATTTCAAAGACTCTGGACCCTCACCTACCCGCAGACATTTCCTCTTGTGGTTATTATTTGAAGTTTTGATCTGCTCGCAGACTACGTGGAAGTAGAAACAGCAAACACACAAAAAACTCCGTAGCTTTAGTCCGCAAGCGAACTATACCGACCGAGCGATCGCCTCTTGTCGGCGAAGTTAGTGCCAACTTTAGCGGATAGAGGGTGTCACGTGGTCAGCGCAACGGATCCCCACGGCCGTTAATTTCGGTTTTCTAAACCGGAGCCGCTACTTTTCCATTCACGTAGCTACTCATTTATCCTCATGAGGCTGAGTGGACCCCGTTCCAGACGCACTACCTCTAAGGAAATCTGGTAGCGTCGGGAATCGAACCCGGTAGCTCTGGATTTGTAACCAGGAACTCTGACCACTAGACCACAGAGGCGGTCAGAAACGACAAACACACATTTTCCAAAATAGAATGAGGTGACGGTTTGCTGACCGCAAGGTGTCATCTTGCCATGACAGTCATAAATGGACATGTGATCAATGTGTTTAGTGCAATGTTACAGGATACAAACTACGTACTCTTGCGCTGCTTCCACTACCTTTACATTCTAACCGAAACAAGTTCATGTTTGTAACGTAGTTGCTTCTTCAAACTGAGACGAAATGAGTAATTACAGACTTGCCCCGCTCCGCCATATTGTCACGTGAAGGCAGGCTTCCTTTCTGCTCTGTTGACAAAGTGTACATATTGGATTTCTGAAGTCGCTGCATATTCGTAGTTTATTCCAGGAAAATCTCGAACCGCATTATTTGATACCTGTTTCCTCCAAACTGATGTCGCTCTTTTAAATAGTTCCCTAGATGACATGAAGCCGATCACAGTGGTCGCGTGGTCTAAGGCATGAACTGTCTTCGCTCCCTCTAACGCTGAGACCTTGGGTTCGAATTCAACTCAAGGCATGGATGTCTGTGAGTGCGTTTATTCTATGCTTGTATTGTTCTGTGTGTAGGTAGCGGCCTTGCGACTGGCTGATCCCCCGTCCAAGGAGACCTACCGACTCTGTATAGGATTAAGAAACTGAAAAAGCGGCACAGATACAATAAAAGAACTGTAGAGCTATAGATAGACAGATAGATGGATAAATGGACGACACTAGACACTGTATACTACGGGTATTAATAAGCCAATAACGCTAACAATACGCTTCAAAGTGGAAAATATTCCTGGCTCGAGTGTCCAAGCATATAGGGTGTCTTTGTGCCATTGTTTTGATAGCTCATCTAGTCTAGTATATGACCACCTCCTCCTTCTGCAGCCTTCCCATTCATTTGCTCCCCGTCTGCATAATAACTCTGTAACTACCTTTGTTGCTAGCGGTTCCAGCCCCTTGTTTTAGAAGATACCAATCGCATGTCGCGTGATCGAACTGTTTCGCGCGATGGCTACAGTAATATCACCGGTAGCAAATACAGATTATATTTATGAAGAAAGAAGGCCACGTCATAGCTCAAGCGGTTAGTCGCTGGCTTCCCACCGCGGCGGCCCGGGTTCCATCCCGGGTCTGGTCAAGTGGGATTTGTGGTGAACAAAGTGGCGCTGGGATAGGTTTTCTCTTAGTACTTCGGTTTCCCCTGCCAGTCTTCATTCTACCAAATTCTCCATCATCATAATCACTCGGTGCAGGTACAATAGGCCAATCAGTGGCCGCCGTGCCGAGTGGAAACAAATGGACTCCACCCCCCACTATGCGAATTTAAAAACAATTTTTGTAAAAAAAGTAGATAAGTCAAATTTGAAGAATGCTTCCTATTTTCAGTTCAGAAATTTTGTCGAAATGCACGTAACTACATCGGCGTGAAACTTGGTCCCTCAAACAAAATATCCCGTGGCCTGCAGTCCGCAAGAGAACTATACCGACAGAGCGACCGCCGCTTGTCGGCGAAATTGGTGTCAACTTTATCGGATAAAATGTCGCATGGTCAGAGCAACGGATCCCCACCGCCGTTAATTTCGTTTTCTAGACAGGAACCGCTGTTTCCTTGAAATAGTTCCTCACTTATCCTCACGAGGCTGAATGGACCCCGTTCCGGGACCCTCTATTTCTCAGAACATCTTGTAGCGTCGGGAATCGAACCCGGGACCTCTGGATCTTTAGCCAGGGCCTCTGACCACTGGACCACAGAGGCGCTGAACGGATCCAAAATTCCGGTCGGGCCAGTATTTGAGGTATACAGATTTTGAAGGGTTTAGTTTTATGCCACCTCGTGAATAAAAATTGTACTGCCATATGTGATACAGGATATGTTTGTCAGAAAGGGAGAATCCCGGTGCGAGGCTATTTGCAGAGTTCGAAAAGGGATTTTCTTAAATTTTGTTGCATGTCATTTGAAGAGTCGGTGAGTAATATGATGATTGAATTCCTTACAGCGGGAATGGACAGAAAATTTATCGCATTCGTCTTTTGTGACGTCATTATTAAAGTTACACACTACTTATAGAATAAAATAAGAATAACTGAATTAATTCCATGGAGCTGAGACCTTCTTGAGAAGCCGTCAGTTATGCAGCTACATAATAATCTCCCAGCATATTATGGAAACCGAAGGTTCATTACCGTGTTCACAAGAGCCCTCCACTGGTCCCTATCCTGAGCCCGATCAATACAGTCCATACCATCCCATCCTATCTCTCTAAGATCCATTTTATTATTATCCACCCACATACGTATTGGTCTTCCTAGTGCTTCTTTCCTGCTGCTTCTCCCACCAATATCCTATATGCATTCCTCTTCTCTCTATTCTTCCATCTCATCCTAGGCTGCATCACTGTAATTATACTTGGAGAAGAGTACAAGTTATGAAGCCCCTTATTTTGCAGTTTACTCCTGTTACTTCATCCCTCTTCGGTTAAAATATTTTCTTCGGCACCCTGTTCTGAAACTGGTTACCGGGGGCCCTTTCTTCGGGGGTAAAACAGCAGGGGCGTGAAGCTGACCACTCACTGACCACCACTAGTTAGAACCAATATGGTTCTATACATCCACTTCCCCACGCGCCTTCATGGCGTGGTTTTTAATTAGTTAAGCACAGGGACATCTTTACCTTTACCTCTACCGTGTTCTCAATCACCCACAGTCTGTGTTTTTCCCGTAATTGCAGAGACCAAGTTTCACACCCATACAAAATTATAGGTAAATTGTAATTCTGTGTATTCTGATTTTTATGATATTAAACAACAGACGAGAAGATAAAATGTTCTGGACAGAATAGTAGCAAGCATAACCAGTATTCAACCTGCTTCTTACTTCCTCTTGAATAAAGTTGGTACACACAATAAGAATACGAAAACAAAACAAGTACGATTAATTATTCTAAATTTGAGTGGCCTGGTTCATGTCCCAAAAATAGCTTGAAGAGGAGAGTCGGTATTTCAGCGACTGACGTAACTCACTTCAGCAATTTCATGAATTAAATCAAATAGCAGAGAGATCGCGCTTTGCTTCATGACATGCCACTCGTGAGCCCAAGTTATTCCGGAACGCTAAATCACACGGTAACGAGAGCCACTCTTGAATTCAAGTATTGGATAAGAGATGGGTCGAGTGATAGAAGGTTCAGCATTTCAGCCAACGTACAACAGAACTTACTTGTGAGGTACTGCCGTGCAAGCGCTTTGTTTGAGCAAGTGCTTCTAACAATCCCGTCGAAACAAAGAACGTGCTATCTCGTTGATCACCGCCTCTGCGGTCTAGTGGTCAGAGTTCCTGGCTACAAATGCGTTGGCCCCGGGTTTGATTCCCGGCGCTACCAGATTTTCTGAAAAGTAGTGGGTCTGGAACCGAAGCAATAGAAGAGCTGTGTTTTCTACGTGGTCCGTAACTAAAGGTTATGAGCAGGACGAAGTTTAGAGCTTAGTTAATTGAAAGTCAGTCTGTGAAGAGGAGACTAGGAGGTTGGTATGTAATGGCGACCAGTCTGGGAGTTAGTCATTCTCAGGCAACGACTAGTCGAGACTACGGCAGACTGAAAAGACGTAGCGTGTGTTGTAGTGATTTGTACATTGTGGAGATCAACAATGACGCTATTATTAAATAACGTAACAATATATATACCACACATACCCATATATTTATACTATATGTATATAATGTAAGACGTGTTGAACAAACTTTCTCGCATCTGTTGTACGTGACAAGGAACAAACACCCTGCAAGCCTTGTTTCATTTGGGGTTAAATCACTTACATTTTCATATTTGGATACATTATGTAAAATGGTGCATTTTAACCAGAATGGGTAACGCCGTTTTCAATAAAGACGTAATTTTATGTAGCCAAGAAATCACTCGAAACCACAAAGACAGTTTTAAAAACACCACAATCATACTCTATATAGAGTATCCTGTTTCCATGTTGCAAGCACAAATAGATTACCATACACTAAGAAAGTTCCCAGAACTGTTCAAATGATAACAATAGGGGGCGTACGGAATTTCGGAGACCAATATTTCTAGCACAAAAAAAAATAATTAGGCTCTATTTCTTAAAAGCCGAGATCAACTTTGGCAACATAACAGTACGTAACAATGCTAGACCCACTTATACATAGAAACGTAAAAGTGACGAAATTCTGAACGTCTTACCAAACAACTAACTGACTAAAACATTTGATACAGGACGTTCATCGAGTGGACGTTAGATACTTAACTGTTCAAAACATTCCCTGTCGTGAAATTCGAAGAATCGTCACCACCACCACCACAAGCCCTGACATTCGATCCTGTTCCGAACTAGTAAATAGTTTCGGTGTTTATTCTATAAAATGCATGTTAATATTATAATTCAGTCTTGGACTCGAGTTCTACAAGTGGCGTTTCAAACCTGCTTTAGTTGCTGTGAGTTCATAATTCCGCAAATTCACCGTGTCGCATCGCGCACACTTGCCGCCGCGCGCCGGAAACGAACAACGCGTCCACTCGAGCGTCGGGCTCGAGACTGACTGAGGATGCTGCACAGCAGCGCTCAGCGGAATTTGACGCACGAAAGCACGCACTGCATGCCAGTCTCGTAAAGATGCATAAAGAACAATTATTTGTGAGGGAAATAGACCGATGTGCTTAGGGTAATGTGTTAGGTAGGCCGCACACCGACATGCGTCAAGGCATGTAACAGTGAAGACACGATTTCTGCGACATGACGCAAAGAAAGGAGCACAGTTGAAACGAATGAGATTATGAAAACCGCCGCACACCGGTCTGAGTCATAATGTTGACGTCAGCTTCATGCTGACGAATCACGAAAGAAGCAAGACTGCGTCTTTTGTCTCATGTCTTGATGTTTGTCTTGACGCAGTTAGTGTGCGGCCGCCCTTAGAGAGACGAAAAACCTGCCACATAGCCAGTCCAAAGAACACTCAGATCTGTAAGAGTAAAATGCATTTCGCTGACACTTGCTTATGAAAGATGCAGTAGGGATAGAACAGTGGATCTCAGACACAAGGGATTTAAATTGGCTGGAATGAATTTCAGCATGAGCACCCTTTAAATCCATGTAATTCCGACCTAAAATTCACAAAAGAGAGTGTTTTATCGCGTGCATAATTCGTTTTCAAGCAGCTAACCTGTGTCATCTAGTAAGAGAAGGTCCTGGCCAAGATCAGCATTTACGGCATTGGAAGTATTGCAGATTGTTCCAAAGTGCAGAGATAACAATTTGAATGAATGAATCTGACATTAGGTGTTATCTGAACTCTAGTGACACATAGCCAAAATATGAAACATGCTACATGAAACGATATAATGGGCAATTCCTCCTCCTCTTTATCCCCCTACCGCCTCATCTTTTTCTTCTTCTTCTTCTTCTTCTTCTTCTTCTTCTTCTTCTTCTTCTTCTTCTTCTTCTTCTTCTTCTTCTTCTTCTTCTTGTTCCTCCTCCTCTTCCCCATGCACTGGGCTAAGTCTGTTCCGGTCTAACACTTCCATTCGCCTTTTCCTGAGGCTGCCAATGGTTTTTTCTACCCCCTTGGCTGGCATTTCAATACTTGATTTGGCATTCTTTCGTCCGGCATGCTTTCTATATGTAAATTTTACAGTTTTATCTTCAGTTCATTACCTTTTGTGATATTGACCCTACTCATTTTTTTCTTCTAATTTGTGAGATTATGATAAATGATATGAACTCCGTCCCAAGTGCAAACAATATATTATATGTCCTTGATCTTACTCTCCTTTACACTACATGTTTCGGCCTCAAGCGGCCATCATCAGGTGTATACACTCACGTTGCTGTTACACTCCACTTAGTTTAAACTTTAACATTTATCGTATAGAGTGCAACAGGATGCTTAAATATAATATTGTGAGATTATCTTGTCTTGTACATTCTTTGACCGCTCTCAGAAGAAGCCATTTCCGCGGCCTGTAACCTGTTTTCATCCCTAATAACCTGCCCGTACCTCTCTGCCATACGGCAAGACAGTAACGGCCATAATGGAGTAAAGTCTTACCTGCGTGTTTTATCTTGTAGCTACAACAGCTACAAGCCACTGTGCATCTCTAGACTAGCATGAGGTCTTACTTAATGGCAAACTTATATGTACATCAGATTGTTTGTTATTGAAGACACATAGTTTCTAACGTGAGTGCAGTTGCAGAAAATTTGTCATTGCTGCTCTGATATCAGGACAATTGTTACAAGTTCTCTGTTTGTTTCGAGGATTCTACGAAGTGGTTCTTAGTGAGACACGACCGATAACGAGTTCAGCCAGGAACACAACGCAGCTCGCAGCGTGTCCCAACAACAGCAAGTAGAATGCGAGTTGCAGGTGCGACAGAGATAGAATGATGAACTCTTCAACAGAAGATGTTTCCCTTAACCCATTCTGACTAACTTCTTCCTTGATGTCTAACCACAACTTCTGCATCACACCGGCCTCCAGCATACTGCGTATAATCCTGTTAAACTTGCTCAGCAGAGGGCTGCCCTTCGTCACGTACATTGTGTAGCTCATTTGAAACACGTTCTCGTCCAGAGAACAAATATTATTCCTGGTTCCGAGCTCAGCCATAGCTAAATATTCTATTAGGTAAGCGAAGGTGACGGTAGCCATGTCATCTGATAGCAGGACGCGCCTTATGCAGTCTATTAGGCCAATGTTCGTTATTTTTTGGAGCTTTAAATCGGCGAGGTAGGGACCCGACGCATTGATATAGCGCTCTAAATCTGGGAGGGTGCAGTACTTCAGTCCAGACTGCTGTAGCTCTTCAAAAGTCGTTATCTGTTTGGTGAGGCCGGGATCAACCAGCACGCTAGTGAACAGGGTCTGGAAAACTGTGCTTATGGCCAGGAAATACCAGAGCAGCAACGAGAACAGCATACGAAGTCCGAAGTCACGTGGTAACTGCGTCACAGACACGCCCAGTTTAAGGGCCCACACGTCTTGCAGTACGCGAAGGAAACTCGGGGGATGCCGGGAGCGTCGACCCCACCACCAGATGCACCCACTAGCCAGTAGCAGTACCCCTCCCATGGCTGCCCAGACGGATGTGGAGTATATTCGCATCACAGTCTTCATGCGAGAAGCCTGTGTGGCGCACGGAACAAACCATTTGACGCTGCTGTCCAGGTACGGAACCGTGGGGTCAGCCAGTCCCATCAAATGCAGGTGCAAGGGGAAGTCCCCCAGAATCACGTCAGTCATACCGACATATAGGTCGTGCACAAGCTCGAAATGTCTATCATGGCTGGTGCCTGGCCCTGCTGTTCTGTACGTCACTGTGAAGTTGAGGGCATGCTGCAGTAGACGTAGATACTCGATCTCCAGACCCCAGAATGAGTTATTGCTGAGTTGTCTGACGTGGGGCATCACCGGCGTGGTGCCTACAGTCAGTTGACAACCATGTCGGCTAGACAGTGTCTTATCCGGGAACAGTCTCTCCAATTCGTCCACCTGGATGATTTCCTTTGATGTGGAGCATTGCTGGTATGGGAACCAGGTGTACAGTTGGTACTCCACCATCACCACCACCTGCAGTACCCTGGCGCTGTTCCAAAGTTCCTGCGCAATGGCAAGTGCCAACGATGCAGAATTCGCCACCCTCGCCGTCACCACCACCAGAAATCTGGCTTCACTGCTCCACGCTATTCTGGACATCAGTTCGTCTCTCTGTTCCTGCAGGTTAGCAGAGTCTTTCACCAGCATGATGTAACTACCGACCTTGTAGTGACCCTCGTTAGTTGTATCTGCTGGCATTATGTCTGTCCGTGCTACCTGAAGACTCCATACTGCCATCGCGTTAATTAAACGTAGGAGGAGGGCGACACTTGCGTCGTCGTGTCCTGTGCTGGAGATAAGCAACGTCTGATTGGGAAGAAAGTTCCGCTCGGCGATCGTGACCACTCTTGGTACGAAACCGTTACCCTCGCAATCGGCCTGAGTACACTGCAGGAGAGCTAGCATCACTGAAGCTAAGATGGCCGTCCTCTTACCTAGAAGTGAAAACGTAAAACTCTCCTTAACAGGATTTTTACTGGGGACGAATCATGGGTGCATCACTACCAAACCAAATCAGAATATGCTTCAGTGCAATGGAAATATTCCATTGGGCGGAAGAAAGATGAAGTGATGGGAAGTTGAAAAAAAAATTGCATAATGAGGAGCTTCACAACTTGTATTCTTCGCCAAGTACGAATTAGAATGATCAAGTCAAGGAGGATTAGATGGACAGGACATGTAGCATGAATGGGGGAGAAGAGGAATGCATATAGCAGTGGTTTTCAATCTTTATGAGACCGCGACCCGGTAAATTATTTTTTTATAAGATGAGGGCCCGGTATAATTGATGTCAGAGTCCGATACCGGGCCGCGGTCCGGCGGTTGAAAAACACTGGCGTATAGGATATTGGCGGGAAAGCCGGAAGGAAAGAGGCCACTAGGAAGACCGAGATGTAGGCGGGTGAATAATATTAAAATTGATATTAGAGGTATAGGATGGAGCGGTATGGATTGGATTTATTTGGTTCAGAATAAGGAGGATTCTTGTGAACACGGTTTATAAAATGCTGGGACGTTCTTGAGTAACTGCACAACTGGCGGCTTCTCAAGAAGGGCTCATCTGCATGAAGTTAGTTATGTTATATGCTACTTAGCTACTTTTTTTCCTTCTGCAAGTGAGCTTGATCTTGTGGTCTTTCCTTATTAAGTGTTCAACATATGCGCGTCACTGACTTAGCTAAGTCATTTCCATAATGACACGCGAAGAACATGAACTTACTCTAACGCGTTGTAGGTCACAGACTTAGCTAAGTCCTTTCCATATTATCATATGAAGAAAATGAAATTACTCTAACGTGATGAATGTCACAGACTTAGCTAAGTCCTTTCCATAATATCATATGAAGAAAATGAACTTACTGTAACGCGNATTCCATAATATCATACGAAGAAAATGAACTTACTCTAACGTGATGAAGGTCACAGACTTAGCTAAGTCCATTCCATAATATCATACGAAGAAAATGAACTTACTCTAACGTGATGAAGGTCACAGACTTAGCTAAGTCCATTCCATAATATCATACGAAGAAAATGAACTTACTCTAACGTGATGAAGGTCACAGACTTAGCTAAGTCCTTTCCATATTATCATATGAAGAAAATGAAATTACTCTAACGTGATGAATGTCACAGACTTAGCTAAGTCCTTTCCATATTATCATATGAAGAAAATGAAATTACTCTAACGTGATGAATGTCACAGACTTAGCTAAGTCCTTTCCATAATATCATATGAAGAAAATGAACTTACTGTAACGCGTTGCAGCAGGTTCGTCTTTCAAATAAGTAACTGCCAAATTACAAGCGGTAGATCTTTGAAACGATGTGAAAAGCGTTAGACTTCGGATTAGGTTTTTCTTTTTCAAGTTGGTCATCGAGAAGGCATCGTGTCCGTTAAGTATTGGCGTTCACGACACCTTAACCCATTACCAAGCTTTCACAAGCCCCCATCAGTGCAGGTAATGGCGCAATATACGATTATCAGTGATCTTTCAGCCGACTGGTGTTCGCATGTTACCACATAATTGCGTATTGATCATTTCCATCATCCTTGTTTGCAGTTCCACGGTTTACTCTATAAACTTTTTACAAGCCCAAATGTTTCCTTCAAGTTTACCGCTTTTCTTTGCCTATAATTGTCGAAGAGTACGTCATAATTTTTCTGGATTTGTTAATGCTCTCGTTGTTTCAATCAAAGAACGTCTGACTTATGCACTAAAGGTACCACGAAGAACAAAGCGTCAGAGATGTGACGACGTGTAGCCTGGTAGAAAACTCACTGACGTTTCGCAGGAACGTACTGCTTCCATTTTCAGAGCCGAAAAGCTTTCTGCTCCCCTACCTTCGTGAGAACCTCTTCGAATCTCTAATAAATACCGGAAATTATTAGTTTTCGTGGGTTTCTTCTGTTCTTCTAGGCGACTGCCTAGGCCACAGATGTTTCTGTTTTTGTGGAATTACAAACGATGGAATGTTTTGGTGTATTGCCAAAATCAGATGCTTCATACACATTATGAGAAGGAGTTTGAGTGGTTTGTCTTAGCCTCACTACGCAGATTAAATAAATTTTATGGACGTTTCTCCTTGTGTCTCGTAGCTCCCCTCTCAAAATCGTCATTCACTTCTTATTTGTCACGGTGTGTTGTCGTAAAATAAGATAACACAGGGTAAACACAATTGACATTATCTGAATGTCATGAATCCCCATCATCTTTGGTCTTCGACTCTAATGGTGTTTCCTAATGTATCAGGCTATCATGAAAATAGGAAGCCATTGAGTAACAACCGTATTCTCTTACCGCACTGCGCCATGCTATGTCAGACGAATAGTAGAACAGAATACGTATAATCTCTTGATCGGCCGAACAAATATTTACAGCATAAGGACCCCTTACTTTGTAGTTTGCTGGTTTGTTAGTTATTTGCTGTCTGCTTCATATAGCTATTTCGCTTAGCTTACTCTTCGGCTCTCAAGATGGAGGCGATGTGTTCCTTCAAAATGGCGGTTGAGTTTCGTCTCACTATATGTCCTTATATCCCAGGCGGTTCCCCATAGCCACTGCTGTGAGTATCTCAAATCCAACATGGCTATAACCCAGTTTCTGAGAGAGAATCCAAAATCCGACAATATGTATTAAATATGTCTTATTTTAATCACGGTGCCGGTCACAGTAGCTGCGCGGTCTAAGACATGAACAATTTTTTTTTTAATTCGCTAGTGGGGGTTGGAGTCCAGGTGGGTCCACTCGGCACGGCGGCAACTGATTGGCCTATTGTACCTGTCCCGGGTGATTATGATGATGGAGAATTTGGTGGAATGAAGATTGGCAGGAGAAACCGAAGTCCTCGGAGAAAACCCGCCCCAGCACTAGTTTGTCCACCACAAATCCCACTTGACTAGACCCGGAATCGAACCGGGGCCGCCGCGGTGGGAAGCCAGCGAGTAACCGCTTGATCTATGGCGCGGCCTAAGACATGAATTATCTTCGCTTGCTCGGACCCTGGGATCGTGTGTTCGAATCCCACTCAGGTCATGAATGTTTGGTGTGAGTGTATGCGTTTATTTTGCGTTTGGGTTGTCCTCTGTTTAGGTAGCAGGGTTGCGAAGGGCTGATCATTCGTCCAAAGAGTCCTTCTATCTGTGAAAAATGAGTATGGAACTGAAAAACGGCCTGGTCTCTGAATGGGCTGGAAGAGCCATTGCAAAGATATAAACAAACAAAAAATAAATAATAACTAAATTATTAAAGAAATGCTAGTTTGTATGTGGATAATTATGGGTTTAAATTAAATTTTTATTCTTGTATATAGAATTTTTTCTCATAAGTTTCGAGGTAATATCCTAACATTAGCTTTAGAGAATTGAGTGAGGTCATGAATAAGGGGCCACGCCATAGCTCAAGCAGTTAGTCGCTGGCTTCTCACCGCAGTGGCCCAGGTTTGATCCCGGGACTGGTCAAGTGGGATTTGTGGTGGACAAAGTGGCGCTGGGGCAGGTTTTCTCCGAGTACTTCGGTTTCCCCTGCCAATCTTCATTCCACCAATATCTCCACACAATCACCCTCACCTATCATCTGGGGCTGGTACAATAGGCCAGAAGTGGCCGCACTACGAGGGACTTAGTCCCACCCCACTAGCAATAAAATAAAGAAAAAGGGAACAAGAAGAATCTTAATCAGGGTACAAATTCCAGGTATTGAAAACCGGTAACTCATGAGTGCTAGTCATCTACTTGCCAAGCCAAAGTTGCTTCATGTCTCAAACTGCCATGCTTCAAGTTGTAATTAGTGTTTGTGTAGTATTATATAATATTCTGTAGGATCAATGAAAATATATAAATGCAGAGTCACACAAATACATTCTTTCCAGTTTTTGAAGGATAGGCAGCATGACTCAGCACATTTATTCCAGTACCATTCCATGAAAAGAGTTAAAAAATTTACCCACGTATGTCAAGTACCAGAAGGGCTGAAGTGATACCCATGTTGGAATGGACAGCTCGTCCTGTAATAACTGGTGACAATGTGGGACGTGTTACTGTGCAGTAAAGCTATCCCTGTAATAGGCCGTGAAGGCCCATAGGGTTGTGAGAGGTTGAGGGTCCCAGATTTTTTAGACAATTGGCTCAAAGATGGCAGTAAGGTTGTCAACCTTACATGCTGGCCACTCTTTACTCCCCAGGAAAATTATTTAATTAATTCCTGGTACTCATTTCTGTTAGAGGCTGAGTCAACCCCAGGGCCATAGTGTGGCTGGAAGGATTAGGTAAATAGAAAAAAAACCAATGACCTCATCAAGACTTCGGCTTGTAGCATAGCCCCTCAACCAACTACGCTACTGCATGCCCCGATATAGTTATATAGTTCGCTAATTAATGTTATTGTCTTCTGTATCACATAGGAGCCAGCTTTCGTAAGATTCAAAGTTATCCTGCTATTGATAAGTTGTTAAATGGATGGTATTTCATATCATATCCAATAAATCTTTCTGGAATAGTAATATTTATTTAAAGTTGACATTTATAAAAATACATGATGACAAGTTGTAGGTATTTATATTAAAATATTCATCAAATTTATCACTGTGTATTTGTGATATATAAATATAAATACATAAATTACTAATCAGAAATATTAAGTTACCAGTACATAATTTGATCATTTTGTGCAAACCATGTTGTTGTAATATCACAAAGGAAGGGCATCAAATAAATTGACAACCATTACTTAGCAACAAATGACAGGGACAGGGGAAGTATTGAACTTTTTGTTTCATTATATATTTACATTATTAGCAAGAGAAATTAATTTAATGTACTATATTACAGAGCCCAGTGAAGATAATGTGAAATACAGCAAAGGGCACAGCTCTTCTTACTTCATGTATATTTTCTGATGATGTGACAGATAATCATGGAGGTCTCTGAACGTCTGTTAGCTATTGCAGAAAGACTAGAGGTCAAAGTGAATGCTAAGCAAGAGGTAAAGAATTCCTGCTGTGAAGTGACAAAGGCCTGTCTGGAAGACAGTTGCTGATCAAAAGGAGATGAAGGCCTGTTGAAAAGAGGAGGGTTGAAAAGAGGAGGGGGCCTTCTGGGAGGTAGGGGAGGCAATTCTAAAGGAGGTCAAGACTGTCTTGGAGATTCAGGAAGTCCCTAAAGATAAATCTGTAGTGGAGGCTATCAGAACCCTGGAGAACAGATATGGAACTGGCATCTAGTCAGTAGCTGCTGCAATTCAAATACCATGAAATGGGTTTAAAATTTGCATTAAAATTAATAAAAAATTATGTGACTTTATTGCATGATCTGTATGTAGATATTCTAATTTTTAACTCTCACATGACTGTATAAATTAGTTTTATGAGGAAATATGACCTTGTAACAGAGATAGATTAATTTTACTGAATGTGATGTTCAACTGTTCTGTGAGAGAATGATAGAAAAAAGACACATATCAACTTATGCAAAGTGAACATTAATCACAAATATTAACAAGGCTTATTTTTTAATTTTATTACAGTCCTAAATAACAAATTCTCTTGAATGACTGACTTGAGCAAATGATTCATTAACTGCAGTTCATTGACTTTGGATTTCAGCCAGATAAGGAATTTATGAAATGTAGTGACATGTGAAATAAAAGAGTCTGGCAGCAATTGCAGGAGATTAATGAATATGATTGCCTTGAGTATGCAGCTTGTTATCTATCAGAACATCTTCGTTGTTCAGTCACAAAATTATAATTCATTTATTTACTTATGTAAAGAGCTGGAACATATTCCCAGACACCTTGAAATCAATGTCATAAGCCTGGGTTCTCTTCTCTAGACTGTGAGCACATCAAACATGATTAGCATTTCAAGTTAAATTTTTATTTTAAAATTTAAGGATTGCTATTTATTAAGACAAGTGAAAGACATTTAAAGTTACTGGAAATTTTATTAAGTGCAAGGTTTGCAGATTGTTCTGCTATGTGTGACTTGAAGTCGATATATATATATATATATATATACTGGCACTGATGTGCTGAATACCACTTTCTTTTATATGCACCTTTGGATACGTTTCAGGAAGAAAATGTACAGTCTTTTACCCTATGATAATTCATGATGTAACAGCCATGTAATAGAGATACAACAGTCATGTTGTCTATGTTTTAAGCTCAAACACTATACTTTTATTTGCTGCAGGTACAACACAGTGAACACTTTTGTTCTCACAATTAAAATATAAGTTCCTTCACAACATTACTTTGGGTGGCCAAAACTTGTTTCACCGTTGCATTGCCTTTCTTTTAGGGAGGAAGGTGAGATGAAGACTTCACTATAACCATAAGCACTCGAGTGAGATTTAAAAGCAGGTCTACAATAACCAACATTTGATGTGACAGCATGATTCTGATTGAAGATGATCACCACAGTTGATTAACACAAATGTGCAACAATATTCATTCCTGCACAGTGAAATTTGTTTTCACCGTCTTATCTGGAGGAAGAGTGTCCCTCCATATTGTATTTCTAGCGACACCCATTTCTCAGTGTTTTGTGCTAGAGTTTCTCGTTGCTAAGATTTACCATATTGTAGTACGAGTGGTCTGGAAATCTCTCAAGCTCTATATAATCAGTCTCTGTAAGCAAGAGTTGCTCTAACAACTTAATTAGTTCATTGAAACTAGGGCGTTCTTTAGGATCCTTATCCCAGCAGTAATACATGATGTTGTACAGCTCTCTGCGGCAGTGCTCTGGTTTGTCTAACCTGTACCCATCGCGCACCTTTCTCATGACCTCAGCTGCAGCAAGACCAGGGTATGGTGTGGAGCCTAGAGTCACAATCTCCCAGATGAGAACTCCAAAACTCCAAACATCAGACTTGACAGAAAATATGTTGTCATATAAGGATTCAGGTGCCATCCAGCGAATTGGAAGACGACCCTCTGATTTTCGCTCATACACATGACTTGAGATGATATCTCGGGCAAAACCAAAATCTGCCACTTTGCAGATGTGATTCTCTCCTACCAGGATGTTTCTTGCTGCGAGATCACGATGGATGATCTGTGGAAATTAAATTTGTTATTATTATTATGTAATGTTTCCAAACTCTTCTCATGGGAAAGGCAGATGAGCTGGGTTGTAGCAGCCTTGTAACATGTTAAAGATTAGTGCATATGAAGAATTTTTATCTGATGTCCAAACATATAAGAATGATTTTGATTTGAGCTTCTCACATTGATGACTATAAAGAGTTCTGTCTCCTTGGATAAAATGCCTTACGGTCGAGTAAAATCCATCCCATATTTCAGAGGTTCAATGACTAACTCCTGTGTTTGCTCTTGATTTCATACTGATTTCCTGCTTTGCTTTCTCTTAAACCCTGTAGATAGAGGTGATATGTATCTCCAAAAGGTGGTTGATTTTCACCGAACTACACACCTTGTATCCCCAAAGATATATATAAACATACTAGACACACTAGTGTAAGTATGTTATTTAAGAAGATTATGGTCATGTATCTCCATTGGTACAGGATCTGTTGTAAGGCATTAATGCAATATTTTTGTACAAGCTTTCTTGCAGGAAATTAATAATTGTTTCGTTTCTTTTAATTGTGTGTGTTACTGGGTAATACACTATATCATTTGGCTTACAGGGACAGTGGTGCTCAGTTTATCCTTGGTATTTGATGCAAATATGAAGTCTCTAGTATGCTTTTAACACAAGGCATTAAAATTTACTAATTTGACAGAGTGTTTGGGAACTTCATGCATAAATGAGAAATGAGAACAGAAATTGAAGGTACTTCTTTTGGCTTGTTTTTGACTTCATCCATTTTCTGGTATGTAAAAGACAAAAGACCACGACGTTTCAGAGACTGGATCTGTCTCCGTCTTCACATGGGTGGGGAAGGATAAACCTACTCAGTTGTGCCCGTTAGAAAGAGCTAGTCTCAGTCACTGGATAGTGATTGAGTGTGACTGAGGTCCAGTGATTGAGACTAGCTCTTTCTAATGGGCCCAACTGAGTAGGTTTATCCTTCCCCACCCACCTGAAGATGGAGACAAATCCAGTCTCCGAAACGTCGTGGTCGTTTGTATTTTGCATACCAGATGATGGCTGAAGTCTAAAACAAGCCAAAAGAAGTACAGTATACACCATCGTCAGAATCCTTTCAAGTCTATCAGAAACTGAAAGGATTATTTCTGAAAAACTGTCTAATCATGAAGAAAATTACATTATAAGGAAATTTTAGTGAGGGTCTAGACTGGCAGCATTTACATGCAACCCTTATGCAAGAGCATAATACAGTACTTAGAAAGTAGATCTCATGATCTTGTGTTAAGAAGGCAGCTGGTAGACAGGAACAACAGGCAATACAATGGGTAGTCTGGAAACATACTCACCCCCTTTGAAGAGAGAAATTCCATGCCACGAGCTACTTGATATACAAAAGAAGTCAGATCTCTCGATGTCAGACTGTTGCTGGGACCATGCAGGTTACCATAATAACGCTCAGCACGTGAATTGCGTAGGAAACTTTGTAGCTTGCCATGTGGAACATATTCCATGATAACAAACGTTGGTTCTAGAATACAGAAAACCAATAGTAAAAATTTTGCCTTATTAGCATGATTCCTAAAGAAGCAGGTATTTGTGTTGTTGTAGCCGTACCACTGACACCACCAGCTTTATTTGTAATCAATATTTCTTTTAGAGAAATTAAGCATAGGATGTAGCAAGAACATGCAAGGGTGACTTAGCCCGATTCTTGGTTTCAAGAATAGGGCCTGCTTCACTGCTACAAAGACCAGACAGGAAGCACCCCGCAGAGTTTTCCTGGAAATTCAGTTAGAAAGTTGACTGGCGGGATCCTTTGGTAAAGTTACACTTGACAAGTTTTGAACCCCATAAGTCAAAAGTGGGAAGGCCAGCAACCCACGCTACTGGTATAATTTTTCAGGCAGCTGTCAAAAACGACGTTAGGACTTTAAGGTCCAAAGTCCCAAATTAAAGTTATGTGATTGGAGCAGTGAGAATTATGGTTAACTCCCTAAATTCGAATTGTTCCAATCAGCAGAAATTAGGGTAGTAACTTGGAGGCGGAGCTGAAGCCGCGAAGATTTCTTGCTTCGAAGCAGGGTCAGTCTGCGAGAGGAGTCTCTGAACAACCCTCCAAGTGTACAGCCGAAATTATGTTTAAGTGTTTGCAGGAACAATCTCTGGATAACTCTTCTAAATTTAACGTGAAATTTTCTTTGTGCTAAAAGTATAAGTGAAAGTGCAATTCTAGGGGTTGTGCTAAAAGAAACAGCCGCTAACTAACTAGCCAGGGATCCGGTCGCCAACGTTGGAGAGATTTCCAGGTGTTTTAAGGAAGTGCAACAAGTGCTGTTAAATGTACGTGTGTAGCAAGATCGGCTAATTAAAAAGTGTGTGTTAGTGCCTACCTAAAACACTCTTCTCTTTCCCGCTGACGCGAGGCCCGTATTCACCCTGAGACCGAATCTCATCGCTCCAGTGAGAACGCGGTACCTAGCACCTGTAGTTTCCAGTTCATCCCCCCTTTTCCCCGAAATGTAAGCCGTTACAGTAAGCTTACTGGCGCCCAGCACTCCGATAACCCATACCCCGCAAACTATTATCCACCAGAACAACAAAAAGGGAAACAGAACTGGATAGGAAGGACGCAGCAGCAACCTGCCAACTCGAAGTAACAACAGGTGAGAGGGAACGGCTAGAGGAGCAGATGCAACCAGCAACCAAAGGGCTCTTCAGAGGACTGCCGGAGAAGGACGGTTAGATTGTCAGCATGAGAATAATTCCCCAGTAACTGTTGAAGAAATCAGTCTTATAAGGCAAGCAATTTAAAAGACTTTTACATAGGAACTATACTATTACCAAAATACCAAATATCAGTTGGTATGGTGACTAGGCTGGATGACCAAGAAATTGGGGTTGGATTCCTGGTAGGGCAAGAGCTTTTCTGCTCTGCATAACGTCCATAGGCAGGAGCATGAAGCTGACCACTCATTTACTTCTACCGTTAGGCACAGTAGATCACTGTGGTCGTGGTGCAAGGGCCAAGAAGGCCCACCCCTTATACATTCATTCATTCATTCATTCATACTTCTTGTGTTCAGGTAAAAAATGAAGGATCTCTGCCTCCACTCCTCCATGCATCTTCATGGCATGGTGCTTAAGTAATTAAGCCCTGAGTAAACTGTACTTGAAAATAGAACTGTCTCTTCACTAGAAATTTTGATAAATTAGAGGAGTGCATACTGTTCTTTTACCTTTCTCAGTGCAGCAGCCCAGCAGTCGGACCACATTGGGGTGTGGCTCTAGCATCTTCATGACCTGGAGCTCCTGCACCAAGTCTGAGCGCTCCTTATCTGAAGCATTCTCTTTCAATGTCTTCACAGCCACTACTGTCGTGCCTTCCCGCCCTGCAATGACAATTAAAAACTCTCAAACAGATAAGTGGATGATTTAGTTCTTGTAGGGTTTTAAGTTCTCACAGCGGTGGTTATGAAGGGTTCCATCTTCTGGGACATATCATCATGTAGTTAGTTGGCTTTAAAGAACTACACATTACGGCTGGACAACCTGGGTTTGGTAGCTGGCAGGGGGCAAGATATTTTCTCCTCCTCATACTGTCAAAACTGGTTCAGGGGCCCACCCAGTCTCCTATCCAATGCACACTGGGGGTTCTATACATGGAGGTAAAGTGACATTAGAATGAAGATAAACACTCAGCTCCATCTAGTGCCAAGGTTAAGATTGATGGAGCTGTACCTCCACTCCCTCATATGTTTTCATGGCATATTGCCTAATTGCACAATTGCATAATTAAATACAGGGATAATTTTACCTTTATCAAATATGCATATAGTGTTGTGGTGACTGTTTCTTGTGGTATGTGTTTCTTTTGCATATTGTATTTGATGTTATTCACTTATGAAAAGACTGTGTGTAAGCTGCATTGTAGATTTCTTTCACTTGTAGGAACCATGAATTTTAGTCAAAACAGCACTGAGATGGAAAATGTTTAATTCTGAATATTTCACTATTGGTGGAGAATGGTGGAAGATAATTAAATTGAAGCAACTGAAACTTTTTTTATATATGCAGCTTATTACCTGGAAAGGAAAAATCTCTGAATTTGTTAAGGGAGGGGTAAGTACAAAGGAAAGTATGTGCTACAGTTCAACAATTTACCACTGAAATTACCATAATCATTTCACATAATTGTTCTCTGATGGGAACTTAACAATTTTCCATGACTTTCCCTTCTAATATCAGCATTTATAAACATTTTACCATAAATCAGTTGCCACTGTATAATTAAAGCAGTTCTTTATACACAGGTAGTGGCTGAATAAAGAGATAATATAATATCACTGGATGCTATGTTACTTCAATCATTCATTAGTAATGTCCCTATACTTAGTCTGCTTCAATTCATGGAGAGGTGCATGATGATCAGCAACACTGGCAAAAGGAAGATTGTATTCAAACTTTTAATTAAAATATTTTGCTCAGAAAAAGGGAAGTATTAGGGCTTCAGGATTATAAAAAGCTCTACTTCTAGTGTTTCTGCTCAGATAGTGGTTATTAGATACTTTTGATAGCATACTCCTTCTCTTAAATTGCATTACTTAAAATTTAATGACACCAACAAAGTTTTATTTATGTAACATTCAGGCCCAAAATGTTTCATTGATTTCATAAATCCTTGCTGCCTTAAAATTCATAATTTCAATTAATTAAGATGAAATTTATACTTCATTAATATGATACTATCTTAGGATTGTCTGCAGGCACTAAGAAAAACACCAGAATCTCAAGTCATGATGGCACTTATCTGAGTTAGTTCTTATATTTACCATCAATGTCAAGGGCCTCACAGCGCCACACCTGTCCAAAGCATCCTTCTCCCAGGATGTTAAACACCTTGAGGCGGTGCCGGGGAAATTCCCAACGGTCATCAGGCTTGGTGTTTCCTGGTGTCAGTTGCTGAAACATTTCAGTAATGCACATCATAGATGAAAGCATAAAAGCAGAGATTTCTGCTCTTCATGCCAGAGGAGACATTTGTGTAGGTAAATCATATCAGATGTATTTAACTGTCAGTAATAATGGTCCATATCTTTCAGGAATGATAAACTGTATCATATCATCATCTTTCTGATCCCTTGAAATATTAGGGCTGTTTCCACCTGTTATAAATATCATAAAACAGAATGCATCTGTAATTTCAGAGATTCCCCCAAACCTATTTTTCCTTCTGGTTTATATTTTAAAATCTTTTTGGAATCTTGTGAGAGCTCATCCTGCCAAAGTGCACTGTCCACTTTCTTCTGTATTGTTCTATAAATTATGTTATTTATAGAATCTGTAGGTCCCTCACAGCTTCTTCAGTTGTTTTATTGTTTGAAAGAGTTAATTCTGTCCTCCCTATGAAAGACATTCCTGCTAATATTGGTCTCTTCAATTACAGTAGATAACATTAAGATCCAATTACACGTATACCCGTATACCTCTAATATGCACTGTTGATAGTGGAACAGTAGTTTTTCTAGTTCATGTTGGAACCACGTTAATCCTCATTTGGTTTGTACCAACCTGCAGGTTTGTGTCCCGATCCCAGCCCTCATAACGATTGCTGTGGGCGCGGGGACCCCGCCAGTGCTGTAGCGCCATGGGCTCTTCCAGCACAATGCCGCTAGATGGCTCCTTATGCTACAAGAACAGGAATTAACACTGAATTGTAGACTTTATATTAACTCCACAATTGTACTGATATCACATGCATCCTAGAATGATTATTCTTTCACTGATAGGATGGGGTCTTATTTTATTCAGTGCAAATTTTCTTTAAGTGTGTGATTTGCTGTATTGATACACATGGGAAGTTGTGTGAACACTGCCCCTAGTTACAGGCTTACACATAGATATCCAAAGGATTGAATTCCACTCTCATTTCTAAGGACTTCAAAATCTACATACAGAAAAACTATTTAGAATTCTACCACATTGGACATTTAAAGGTTACCAGGAGCTTCCAGCATGATAACTATAAGCTTGTTAATGATTTGTCTGCCTCCAGTATGTAGCTGTATATTCATGATGTGAATACAGTATTCATAACTTATGTGGCCATTGTTAGATACAATTGGCAATGGTGTATTATGGGGTTAGTAGTTTCAAGATGGACACTTAATTTCGGGCAGCCTCTGGTTGTATGTAATCAGCTGTAAGACAAAGGGATTGAGAATATTGTCATGTGCTGGAGTGACTATAGATGGGGTTTGGATTGGTAATTGGATTTATTGACCACTTACAAAACGTAACAACAAGTGACTATAGCACTATCGCTGACTTACACACTCAGCAGTTAGTTACATACTTAGTTTTCTCAGTCTGCTGTATCTTCATCAGTCTTTGTCTGGTAATGGCTTCCAATGATGAACATCCCTCAACTTCCTTGCTCATGTCCTTATTGACTGGCAACAATCTCACAACTGAGGCACTCACCAACCAACTCACTTCATTTCACTTCACTGCACTAACTAACTCATATCGGTCGTTCGAGTGATATAGCCTCAGACCCAACCACACAGGAAACACTTCCAACAGCACTTCTATCATTGCGCGCTAGCCGCTGCCTAGCAACGGCTCCAGTACTGTTGTGTATTTACGAAGCTATTGCATATCAATGGCCGTTGTCTCGTTTGTTTCACGGTCATTGCCTAACAGTGGGTCTATAGCCACATTGCACCTCCTTAAGACTATTTGTCCCGAATAGCCTACTGGTGTACCACCGCTTCTTCTTTTCTGAGGGCTGTACCTGCGACGCCTGTGATCCCCCCCCCCCGGTGATTACTCTCCAACAGATCCCGCTGCTCTCTGCTTAAGGCTGCCTGTCCCGAGCGGCTCCGTGATAAGATGCGAGTCAATCTAGGTGTACCACTGTCATCCAGATCTTTCCTGAGGGCTGTGGGCAAATTTTCCGAGAGTGGCTGGCACTCCCACGTCTCTAGCTCTTCAACTGTGGATAGTCTCTTCTTTCGTCTGGGCGGTGGTGGGCTCCTCCACGATGTTTTAACACTGATTTTTCGAATCGTCACGAGAGATCCGGCTCCTAGCTTGACTAGCTTCAGCTCTATGGTCTGTCTCAGGGTCTCATTGACATTTCTGTAGCTGGGAGTTTTGTTGTTACCCAGGGGTAGCTTCTGTTTCAGATCTGGGTTTCTTATATCACTGGTGCATTCCGGGCATTTCCGTTGTCTATTCTCGATCGTCGGTCCCCTATGATCGCGCCACTTATGCCGTGCAGGTCATCCTTCTGCTAGCATTTGAATTAAGCAGGATTAAAAGAAATTAGAATGTTGTACATTATGGTTATTTTATCAAGAAGGACGAGGATTTGAACAATTAATTTATGCTTTATTTTTAAATGGTATTTTGAAAATAATACTTCATGTCACAGATGTCTCTTACAAGTGATTACATGACGTCCATGGATATGAGAGAATACTCATACTTGCCATATATTCCTTGTTACCCTTATTCCTGTGGCGACACAACTTACGACGGAAGAGCCACGCGATTGCCCCTCCCAGTACGAAGAGCCCACACACCACGGAAATGGGTATCACGGTTGCTGTGAGGTCAGGAACTGAGGTCACCGTGCCCTCAACAGAGCTCATGTTGTGTTGAACACTGCCACCTCCAGGTGGGGGTGTCAGAAATGTTTCTGTAGTCTCAGCTTCTGAAACATTGAATTAACTTTATTGCTAGAACAAACGTTATACGTCGGTCACCCTTGGTCATGGAAGTGGTAAGTGGTACATACCTCTAACGGGCTCTAGCTCTTCGGGTGGGGAAGCAGTTCTCAAGGTTGTCTGCTCTTGTGACAGCGGCGGCGGCGGCGGTGGTGGCGGCGGTCTAGGCTTGTGACTTATCTCTGGCACAGGCGGGGACTGTTGAATGAAACCAGGTGGAATGTTGCCACCTCCGGAACCACCTGCTCCCGGGAACTGGGGGCCAAAATTTGGTAGGAAGACTGTTGCCCCCGGCGGAGGCCTATCATTATTCAGCTCTGTGGAGTTGGGGGCGGCTGAAGAGTTACGAATTCGCGCCCACACCTCCGTCTTACTCATTACCTGACCGTCGAACACGGTGACGTAGAGGAACAGCTGCTCGCCTCCCTGAAACAGCACCAGACGTCGATTAGCATATCCAGGCCTAGGCTGACATGTGGAAAATCGTCTTGTGATAGCATCCGAAGGTTTCTTATTTTAGTTTCTTGAGGTGGGGTGATACTGAGTCCACTTTGTACGTCGGCCATTAATTGGCCTTTTGTAGCAGTCCTGGATGATAGTTGATGAATGTGGAAGAATCAGTGGAATAAGAATTGGCAGGGGAAGTCGAAGTACTCAGAGAAAACCTACCTCAGCTCCCCTATGTCCACCACAAATCCCACATGACCTGACCTGGGCTCGACCCGGGCCGCCGCGTTGGGAAGGCGGCGACTAACCGCCTGAGCCGTGGCACAGTTACGTCCGAAGGTTCTGAACAATTTTTTGGATAACACGAAGTTGGCCTGCTCATTCCCCGGTGGCCATATTTGGCATATCAAGAAACTTTGAGCCAGAAACTTATTGATTTGAGACTGCAGTTTTCTCCTATCTCAGAAGTTTATTTTCATGAAAATTAAGTAGAAGTTGCATCTGTCTGTGTAACATAGTAAGACACGTGATTTGTTATGGTGATTCTCTTGATGCACGTTTTTGGCGAAAATTTACGTCGAGAACTTTTCTTAAAATAGAAATACAAATTGACACTTTCGATCAACTTCAGGCAGCCGACGTTGTTTTCCTATGTGAGAGAATAGTATACCCTTCTGTGAGCTCGCTAAATATCTAATGAAATGGATAAAGTGTTCAGCTGCTTCATGCGAACTGACTGACATAAGCGCAGAAGCAAATACATTCTTATTTGGCTAACGCATATTAAGGTTGTGTTGCAAGATGAGACAACCCGGTAAGAAGGTTCTTTCTACCTATTTATATTTTTTATAAGGCTGTTTGCTTTGCTGTTTCAAATACACGACGGGATTTTAATGAAAATAACTTGAGACAAGCAACCATCCACCTCTGGAAAGATATATTTTACTATGTAGGATTTGAGGCTTTCACGGCGGTGACTATGAAGAAAGCAGTCTTCTGGGATTTGGCACATTGTATATGTGGTGTTAACCGACGATTCGGAGGAACGTATCGCCTCCATCTTCAGGGTAGAAGGAAAATTATAAGAAATCCGCAAGCGAAGAGACCGTGAGAACCGGTTGAAGACTGCTTTCTTAATATAGTTTACTCGTTTCTCAGTCGTTTGTTTCCTTTACTCTATCACATGACTGAAGTTGTCATTACGGTTAGCTTACACTGCGGATCTGTGTCACATTCAAAATAATTCTGATTAAATAAACACACTCAAGTTGTGGTGATAGCCCATAATCAATGTGTACATCAGTCAATCCGGCTAGCCATTAACCAGACCAGAAACTATTGTAGTTCGGAACAGTAGTTGATACAAAATTTTGAAGGATGTACCTTTCTTATTTCATGCCGGAAAACTAAATCACTTCCTGCAACAGATATAAATCGTCATTAAAAACAGAAGAAACGTCTGACCGAGAAATATTCTGTCGATAGATCAAAGCAGTCTAGCCGAAGGCGTGATGTGATGGTCGCACGAAATTGCTGTTTAAGAAAGTTATTTCTTTCCGTTGTGCCTCTCGTATTTGTGTGTCGTAAATTTTTCATTTGTAATCGACGAGAGAACGACGGCTCTTCCTGAGGAAAAGTGCCAGCATTATATTAATGAAGAAGTGGGCCTTTATAATTATTTCTTTCCTCGGTTTTTGGCTAACAGCACGCGTTCTCCAAAGGGCGAGACACTGTAATTTACGTGGCCTTCCCTCGATTCAGGTGCTATGCACGGAACGTAGTTGTTTGATCGTTTATTAGATAATAAAATCCGCTACTTAAACTCCGTAGGCTGTAGTCCGTAATCGAACTATACTGACTGAGCGACCGCCACTTGTCGAAGTTAGTGCCAATTTTTGCGAATAGAGGGTGTCGCGTGGTCAGTGCAACGGATTCCCACGGCCGTTAATCTCGGTTTTCTAGACCGGAGCCGCTATTTCCTTCAAATAGCTCCTCAGTTATCCTCACGAGGCTGAGTGAACGCCGTTCCAGACCCATTACTTCTCAGAAAATCTTCTAGCGCCAGGAATCGATCCGGGGACATCTGGTACTTTAGCCAGGAACTCTGACCACTAGACCACAAAGGTGGTCCTAAAATCCTCTACAACATACATCTAATTGGAATTAGCATGTTATCGAAACAATACTTAGAGACAGACAGGTGAATGAAAAAACATATAATTCAGATTTTAAGTCCTCACGGTGGCGACTTTGGAGGGTATTATCATCTGAAATATGAAGTCATACACGGTGTGTCCAGGATCCATTAGGAGTCTTTTTTTTTTTTTTTTAGTCGTGGCGTTAACGGTTTTGTGGTTTTATCTGTGGGTGG